TGCGCATGCGTCAGATGGCTATAGTGTGTCATTGTTGACAAACAAGCGTCTACCCATGAGCCTTTGCATTTTTAGCGTGTGTTGTTATCGTCGCTTGGGACTCAATTCCTGCATATACGCAGGTGACGATAAATTGCAGACAAAAATAATAACCTAATTGTTTATTTTATTATTTGTATTATAAAAGGTATTTATGAATTACGATACTATGTACTGTCATCAAAGTATTTCCAGTCATACGATGAAGCACTGAAAGATGCATTATTAGCAAGAGTTGAGCAACACAATGAACTGAATTATGGTAAATTGATGGGGGTATGGCACAGCAATATTGGAACATTACACAAGGGTATGTATATTAAGTATAGTGTATTCAAAAGCAAGCCCAAATCTGTCCTGCAATGATGATGTAACAAAGCTGCAAAGTGAAAAGATGTTCTGTTACAGTGGTGTTCTATGAAGAAAGTTTCATTACACATGGCTATGTGCATTAAATAGTGTACATAAAATCACATTGTTAAGTATGTTAAACATAGTTATCATGAAAACACATGGATATGTCCGTCAAATATATTGTTCATAAAACCACATGGCTATGTACGTTAAACACAGTGTTCATGAAATCCCATGGATATGTATGTTAAACATATTGTTCATGAAATTACAATATGTTGATTATAGTGGATGAAATTACATGGGTATGTACAACATAGTGTTCATGAAATCACATCGGTATGTATTATTATAATTTTATTAGACGCATAAAATCCTTAGGAAAGGATAAAAAGGGTCTTACAGAAAGAAATTAAAAAAAAAAACTACAATCTAAAAAAGAAAACAAAAAATAAAAACTTTTCTGAAAAAAACAAAAAACAAGTCAAAAACAAAAAAAGACAATTTGCAGCCAATGGTGAATACAGAATATAGAATGAACACAGAATGTGGCCTAATACACTGATAGTTGTTGCTGTTTTGTTCCATAGCTGTTTTTTAAGAAGACAGCTAAGGCTGGTGCTAGAGTATGGTTTGCCATAATCAAAATGAATTTATTCTGACTATTTTCTTTATCAAAATTTGGAATTTTATGTATGTTAAGCACAATGTTCATGAAATCACATGGGTATGTACAACGAACATAGTGTTCATGAAATCACACAAATATGTATGTCAAATACAATGTTCATGAAATCACATGGGTATGTACAACAAACACAATGTTTATGAAATCATGTGAGTATGTATGACAAATACAGTGTTTATGAAATTACACGAGTGTGTATGTTAAACACAATGTTCATGAAATTACACAAGTACATGTATGTAACTGTATGTCAAACATAGTGTTCTTGATACAAGTTTCATTTCATAGCAGAATAGCATATGATACAGTCAAGTAGCATATTCTATATGGATGTTTTAACATTACGGAATTAATATCACAATAATTTTTAATGCAGCTGAATAAAGGGACCTTACATATGTTTTTCAGTTTATCATCTATGGAATTGGAGAAGTTTAGATATGCGAGAGGAGGGTCGAGCTGTTGTTAATTCCACAAAAAAGGTTGTAGATGCTTGTAAGTATAACTTCAGTATATCTTGTCAAGTGATGGTATAGACCAAATTGACACTCCCTTCTCCAGCATAAATGCCTACAATTTACACCTGACCAAAAAATTATAGTTGCTTTAATGGTTTTGATGACCAAAATTCGTGTTATATGCCACTTTCAAGTAAGCATACTCTAATTGGTTGACAAATCCTTTCAGAGTGGAACTGCCTGAATGTGAATTGAATGGAGATTTAGTTTGTGACAATGTGGTTGTCGCATCAGACTCATGATCGGTAGACCCAAGTTCAAATCCTACCTTAGACTGAACATCAAAGGGTCAACCCCTACCCTGGGTGAGTGTGCCACAGACTCAATGGCAATGACAATTCCACTGGCGGAGATTCATTCATTCACTAACGAATGCGACTTTGGGGGAACCTTGGTTAAGGTCCGCAAGTGCTTGTGTTCGACCAAACCTGGTTGACGCCAGGATAGCGCATTAAAATTGCCATTTGATAGGAAGTTGGCCACACAGCCCTGTCATGAATATGACTTCTGTGGCGAAAATGCACTAGCACAATTTGCACATACAAAAAAAAGTCAGGAGAAACAACAGTGACACTCAATGAACTGTCGCCTGGCACAAAAAAAAAAAAAAAAAGTGACAATGTACACCAGCAGCCTTGCCAAATACTGACAATCTTACACAGAATGCATGCTCTCAAAGGTATTGAATCAGTGCATGACTGTAGATTGACACAGAATTGCACATGTTCTACTGTTCTCTGGTGATATATAAGCATTTGCTAAAATTAGAGAATTCACATACATCCCTCACACCACAGGCTTAATGTAGTTGGTTCAAGTCCAGTATAGCTATGAAGTGATAAATATAACTAATGGTCATAGTCTTAACTATGACCATGCTCAATACACAATTAACCAGCTTGAATGGCAAAGTTCACCTGGTTTCAAGCATGCAGCCATGTAATGTTGCATGGTTTCATCATACAGAGGAGCTGAGTATACAGATAAGAACACCTAATCAGGTTACAGAGGTACAGAGGTAAGGCAATGTATCGGTATGTGTAAACACTGAGATGGCGCACAGATACAAACAGCAAATCATATTACAGAGCATATGCTTCATTAAGAGCAATACCTCAGTTTGTGCAAAAACTGAAATGGCATACAGATACGAACAGCAAATCAGGTTAGAGAGCATGCGTTACATTGAGAGCAATGTATCGGTATGTGCAAACATGGAGATGAGAACAGTCAGCAGATGTGTGACAGTCACCTTAGGTTCCTCAATGTTTATATAACATATTACACATATTTATTGTTTGTCCTGGTCTTAGTGGTTTCTTTCTTTTTGCTTATTTTCAGCTAAAGACATCATGAAGATGGCAAAGCAAGCTTACAATAAGATCCTAATACCAGCACCATTCTCTCCACTGAAATAGACATTAACAGTTTCTAAATTTATACCACTGTTGATGAAACATTAGTTGTTAACAGGCATTCCAAGCTTGTACATACAGGGGTAGAAATAGTTTTATTTTCAAAACTTGTCTTCTTAGGCCCAAAACAAATCTTGCTGGTAATTTGACCAAAATTAAAAATGTTATGTCATCAATGCCATAAAAAATGATGACCAATCTTAATTGTTAATGTATTAAAAGCTTAATAATGTTGTAGCTATAACATGTGAAGTACTGTAAAACCATTTTTCTTCACCGGCATTTAATTTCGCTATTTTACTGTATTTTAAGTCCACAAATTTGTTATATTGTTATTTTACACGTTCACATGGATTTAAAGCGCGGTAGTCATCACGCTGCGCATGTTCGACATTTGTGTTGTTAAATATTGATTTTCCCACAATCCAATGCGTTCTTCAAATGGAATTCACAAGTATGAGATTTGACCTGGGCGTGACTTGCACTGATTATCGCCGGTGACTGCTTCAATACCTTCCAATCACATGAAAATTACCTAATTAAAGCTTGGAAACAGGTCAGTTCGTACTCGTTCATCTGCGCAACAGTCAAAGTCGCCATCTTTGTTTATATGAGACCCATGTGCAGTGCGATGACTACCGCACTTTAATTTAATAAATTTTACATTTTTGGCAAAAATAGTGAAATTAAAAATTAGTATGAATGCATTTATTGTGTGTTGGGGGAAAAAATACAAATTCTACCAACATTTGTGTTTGTGGAATAATATATGTAATCATTAACACAGGTACCAGTATATATTTTTAACATTAAAATGACTGCCATTCAGCCATCTGATGATCATACAAATATTTGCAACAAGATGTATGATGTAAATTTTGAACATGATCAGGGAAGGCATCTCAGAGATTCAGCTCGAGAACCACATTTGTTAAAATGGCCACCAGTTGGCCATTTGGAATCTGATCTGAAAAACCAAATGATGTGCATCAAGGTCTTGTGATGTCCACAGTATGTATATAAGTTTGAAAAAAAAATCCATCCGTACATACATAACCAAGATCTGCTTCCAGAAATGCATAATTTTGATGAAAGCATTTATCTGTACATTGTATGTCTACTATGCAAAATCCTTTTGCTATGCAACAGATTTAAACCAAATCAATCAATAAACACATGAAATATGGTTCCACAAGGGCTTGATATTGTTGCATTATTTATTCTGATTAACACTTATATGACAGGCATGATACAAACTGAAGCCAGTTGTGGTTATTTAGAAAAACCGGTATGAAAAATCATGACACACATGCTCATGTACATTGTATATGCATGACACGATTTCTGACAAAAATGTGTAGTTTTAATGCTTTAAATGGCTGCCAGCTGGAATCAGATGCTACAAAATGTTCGTGCATATGTTTGATACAGTATCTGATGTACGTGTGCAAAATAAAAGTGGATGCAGAAACATGGATGAATGGATGAAGGTTCAATCCATAATTCCCTGTTCTCTGTCTGCATCCTAACGGGACTAAAAATTTCAACCATTTGGTCATCTTGAAAAAGATCATGAGACAAATGAACATGCATATATGTACCCTAAGATATATGATGTGTATGAGAGATTTGAATGTTGAAGCATGTCTGCGACACAGGTCTGATGGATGAACTGACAATCGTACACACCCACACCATACACATGAAGGTCAATTCAAAAAGACCCACGTCCAAATAGAGACTAAAAAGCAGAGAAGTTCCCATTATGGTTTTTGTGCGTACATGTATAATATATATACTCTGAATGGACAATATATAGGACTGGTATAAAATGCATTCACCCAGAGTAGAACACACTGGAAGTGGCCTTTAATAAATCTTAGTTCACTGATCAGTTTACCTCCATATCATACTTAACTCATGTCAAAACTGAATTACTTGCGACATGATATATAAACATGTATATAAAAGCGACATGATCATCAAAATAGCTCTGCTGTTTCAGCAAAGCCTTGCAATGATAAGGTTATGCATAGTTACATAAACATCATAGTGTAGGGGGGGTTGACCTTTTGGCATTTTCAACAAAAATCACAAAAAACATTTGCTTAAATTAGAGAATTAATGATATCATTATAATATAATTTTTTATCAAAAATGACAATAAGCATTCACTAAAAATAAAGAATTAATGATATCATCACGAATCTGACAGAGGTCCATCTAAGGTATCTACTTATAACATATCAAAGCAATCTGGCTGGTAGTTTTCAAGAGGAAGTTGAAAATATCAAAAATATTTACTAAAAAAAATGATATCACTACAAAATGAACAAATCTGATAGAAGCACCTTACTTACATACTAGTATAACATAAAAGCAATCAGGCTTGCAGTTTTCAATAAGTCGAAAATGTCATTTTCACTTGATTACTACACAAGATGTTGATTGAAAACTGAGATGGAAGGCGTGGCACTAAAACAGATGAAAGACGTGGCACTAAATATGAGATGTAAGACGTGGCACTAAAACTGAGATGAAAGATGTGGCACTAAGTATGAGATGTAAGACGTGGCACTAAAACTGAGATGGAAGGCATGGCTCTAAAACAGATGAAAGATGTGGCACTAAATATGAGATGTAAGACGTGGCACTAAAACTGAGAAGAAAGACGTGGCAGTAAATATGAAATGTAAGACGTGGCACTAAAACTGAGATGGAAGGTGTGGCACTAAAACTGAGATGAAAGACGTGGGACTAAATATGAGATGTAAGACGTGGCACTAAAGATGAGATGGAAGGTGTGGCACTAAAACTGAGATGGAAAGCATGCCAACTTTAGGTTAACTATTATGATACAATTGCATGAAAAACATCAACATTTTGTTAATCCTGTAAAGCAATTCATGACAAATACAAGTTGAAATTGAAGTCACTGAGAATAACCTTAAATGAGACACTACAGTGTTAAAGAATGATCCAGAGAGACAGATAGAGACATAACAAAAAAACACAAAATGGCCACCAGATGGTCATCATAGATCGAATCTCAACGGGAATGGTCTTACTAGCTTTGTTAGTAATGTATGGTATATGACTGCAGGCAGTGCAAGTACTATTTAAAAATCCTGCAAAAATTTGCATCCACATATACTTGTGTCTGTACTGTGAAGATTTTTCGTATTTTCTTCTTTGGATTTAGAGTGGTATCCTTTTTAACAGCACTCAGTAATAATGCTGATGATCAGATTTCTTTTTCTTTGAATGGGTAAAAAAATGTTTTCCAGCACTGGAAATACTTTTCTTCTCTTTCGGAACATACATCTTACTAGTTTTCTTGTTTTTGATTTGCATTATGGCCTTGCATGTGTTCGTTCTACTCTGATCATGTACTGAATCCTTATATCTTGGCATCGAAAGTTCCTCATGCTGAATCTTTTTCTTCTTTTTGGTCTTGGAAGATCTTTTATGGTCAGCTATAAGCCACTTTGTTTTTCTCAAATTTCTAGAAATAAATATATAAGATGGGTATTGGCAAATTTATTTTCATTTCATTTATATAGTATCATTTTTTTTTTTTTAAATATGAACAATCCATCACATTCAAGCTGGAGGGATTTACATGGGTAGGCTAGTTGCTTAATAGGATCCAATTAAAACCAGACAAATTCAATGTACATTTATTAGAAGTATGAACCCATTTGATTTTGCCTAGTGTCTTATTCAGAGAAATGTACTACCCGATAGGCAAAATAAAATAAATAGTGTGTTTCTAGTAACAAAAATAAGTAGGTTGGTGTAACTTTTTATTTTGTTGTATTTTATCTTAATTAATAATGCAATTGATTTCGATGGAAATGTTGGTCCATCAGGAGCATAAATGCAAATTGAATTGTCATAACATATGACAGTGTACGTGTATTGGCAGACATTTTCATTTGCATCAAAATATTACTTCTCTCGCTGCTTGAAGTTTTTAGTCAATTTAGATTGGAGTTGGTGACATTCGTCATGGCATTGTGTAATGGAGTTTATTAACCCAGAATCGTGTTGACAAGTAGTATATCTCGGGCATGTATCTCAGGCATGTATCTCAGGCATGTATCTCAGGCATGTATCTCAGGCATGTATCTCAGGCATGTATCTCAGGCATGGAGCTTGAGGTCATGAACAGCTCATTGATGCCCAGCAAAACTAGGTTGAGTCAAAACTGAGTGGGTAACGTTAACTTTGAGTTGGACCCTACATTTTGGTACAAGTGTGAACACTGTGATAAGGTCACGTGTCTGAGTAATGTGTGCATTAAACAATGTAATAATAATAAAACAATTTAATACATACCTTTTTAAATATGGTAGGGAGTGCTTGACAAAATTTTGTCTTTTATTTTTTTGCACATATTTCACTGCATATATATTATCAATGTTTAGAATGGTTGTATACAGCGGTCGACGGATCCTGCATTCAAGAGCAAAAAATTTTGAAAAAATTGAATTATTTTATTCATACATGATTATTCTTCTTCTTTTTGTTAAAGTAATCCACCAAACATGTACTATGTTTTTAATAGACTATATATACATTATTGTAAGTGACTATCAATCCCTGTCTGTCTTGTCTAGGGATCTTGTCACGGCTTTTGCACTGTAGTAGGAGGGTTTATAGCAATGAACTAACTTAAGAATAAAAAAAAATACATTGTTTTCTTGTCAGTTTATCAGGTGCGCATCACATCATTTTTTTCTCTTGTAAGAATATTGTAAAAATCCCTCTATTACCATTCCCAAAACAGTTATTAGTTGAAGTGTGATGTAATCTAATCTTGTCCGCCAAAGCCAACGTTTTTGGTTATTCAATCCCAGGTAGGATTTGAACTTTTGTCTATAAATACTGATGAGTCCAATACAACAGTGATGGGAGGATCACCTATTTGCATCTAGTGTTCCTGTTAAGTCCTGTTGTATGCCCCATGTGGTCATTACAGACACACACATACTTGTATTGCTATATGTTCTGAGGTAAGGTATGGTACAATTATATTAATATTAATATAAACTGAACCATACCTTCCCCGATACTAAACCTAAGCTTCGCAAACCTGACTTAAATTCGATTAAATATTAATATAAATTATGGATTATGTTTGGGGCTCCACTTGTACAAAGGGCTCCACTTTGTTTGTGTATGTCTGGACTACTGGCTCTACTTCTACATCTACACCAACACACACACACACACACACACAAATTAACCTATTATTGTATTTTAATTTACCTTTTATTGAAAAACATAAATGATTTACGTCTATTTGAATTAGAATTCTTCTTCACACCTCGTTCTTCTTTGCTTTGTCTCTCAGCTTGATGAACACCATAATTGTGAATATCCATGGCTATCAGCCTGCCATTTTGAATGAAATCTGGGAAAAATAATGACGTGCATCAAGGATCCATTATGTTCATTGGACATTACAAGTTTGAATAAAATACGTTCATGCATGACTTAGATGGAATGGCAGAAATGCATCTGGAATTGGATCACAAAACAAATGCTGTGCACATGTGTATGTATGTATGATATATGCATACATATGATGTGTGTTAAGTTTGATTGAAATCAACAAAGCGCAGAGGTGAAATTTATAAATCTTCATTTTCAGACTATGTCCGAACTGGGACTAAAAATTAGCTAAGAAAGTTAATATTTTTTACCGATTTCAAAAAACCTTCAGCAGTAACTTGCAAATAAATGTTCACCAATCAGCTTAGACGTCACCCCAAATTAGCATAACGTTAATTAGCATATCATTCATAAGTTTTGTAAAATCATGATTTCTCAGTCATTTTGATACTTGGAGTTGGTCATGTGATAAAGAACTTATCTGATATCTCATATTAACCACTCATCTTTGGTTTGTGGATAATACTAGCCCATGACATCACTTGTACTAACCAGCTCTATGAACAAGTGATATCAGGTGATAACCTCATACCCTGTGGTATACATTGTTAAACTCAAAACAAGCTGCTTGATTCCAATAAGTTTATAGATACATGTATGTATACTATTAATGGTATGATATTTTACAAGACAAAAGTACACAAATGACAGAAATATGCAACCTGTATGTCTACTGGTACATGGTGCGAATGATCCAGTAGTCGCCATATTTATGTTGGTGTGAACACAAGATTATGAGATTCTAATATTTTTAATTATTACACACACTTTACACACAGATTTAGTCAGATTCAAACCATAAACCTTCTAACTGGGAATCATAGCCATTGATACCCCACCTTCATCATCACTACATAGAATGGCCTGAATAATATTCGGTAGAATGAATCTGATCAGTCAAAAATTCAGAACAGGTTTTAAAGTGAGGATTGGGAGAATATTTGTTAATGATCAAAACCCAGGATTATACACAAATTATAAACAAAAACAAGTGTATGACAATCAACATGTTATAAAACTATAATCTAAAGCTGATCCAGTAACACAATATCCCCCCCCCCCTCAGATATGATACCAATGTTATTACATTCATGGCCCTCAGTAACTTGAGATTCTAAAACTTACTTACTCTTTGTAACAGGTTTCTCCTCTTCATTGGAATTCTCGCAGTAAATTTCACCAGCATTTTCAGTATGACTATAATTTTCACATTTCTCAGACTCAGTTTTATAAACATTTTTACTGTCACTGCAATTTTCATGGGTTTCAAACTCTGCACCATCAGCATTTTCAGTGTCACTGAAATTTTCATGGGTTTCAAACTCTGTTTCGTCAGTGTTTTCACTGTCACTGCAATTTTCATGGGTTTCAAACTCTGCGCCATCAGCATTTTCAGTATCACTGTAATTTTTATGGGTCTCAAACTCTGCGCCATCAGCATTTTCAGTGTCACTGAAATTTTCATGGGTCTCAGACTCTGAATCATCAAGATTTTCAGTGTCCCTGTATGTTCTATCATTCTCTAACTCATCTACATAACCAGAGACATTTGTGATATTTTCCTCAGACTCACTGTCTGTGCTATATCTATCGTTACCATTATGGTAACCACTATGTAATTGGGAGTCCTCAGGTGATTCGCCTCTTTTCCGTTTTCTCTGTCTCGACACTTGTACACAAGGAGGTAGACCATTGTAAATGTATCCCTTAGTCTGGCACCAATCATATAATTCTCTATATCTGTAATACAAAATAGAACATCACACACTGCTTTGTGAAATACAAACATTGAAATGGTGAACATTACATGTACACTAGGCTGGATCCACACAGTTCAGTGTACCGGTATGTAAGAAATATGAAGGTGTGGTTTTTCAAATTCCGGGTTCTGTCTGCTAATGCCAATGTTATGTAACAGCGATTGACGGGAGCTTATTATCAACGACCTTTATCAGAATCTGAGGCTGGGCTACGAAACGAATCTGAAGGTGGATTTGAATCTGGGACTGTAATATTGGCCGTGATCAAGAATGTGCATCCATGACTGAGATGTCGCGGCCAGGATGGAAATCTGAGGCAGGATGTGAATCCATGGCTTGGAAATAATCGATGGCTTGGTTGTGAGTCTGCAGCCAGGATGAGCATCTGAGACTGGGATCTGAATCCAAGATTGAGATGGGAATCGAAGGCTGGGATCTGAATCTAGGATATGAATCCAGGGCTAGGATGAGGGTAGGATCTCAATCAAAGATTGTATGGGATATAAATCTGAGGCTGGATTCTGAATCTTGGGATTGTACATGTAGAAAAAAACAACCCCCAATTAGGTCTTAAATAGACAAAACATCCCCTGAAGCTGAAGTTGTTATAAAACAAGTCTGTTAGAGATGTGTAATTGTCACTTTGATGATATACAAAATACTGAGTTTTTACTGAGGGGAACAAAGTATTGGTAATACCGGGTATATTTATAAACTGGCAGCCATTCCAGTAACACAGCTGATAAAGGTAAAAACCAATTTTTTTTTTTTAATAAACTTCCAGTTATTTTTTATCAAAGTGCATGTAAACTACACCATCCCAGGTAGCTGCCTTCTCTACACAGATGATATTGTGATGCTTTCTGAAACAAAAGATGTGTCTTGAGAAACTATCAGAATACACCAATAACTGGAAATTGAATGTAAACATGTCAGATAAAACAAGTCATTGAAAATGACACAGTCCCTGTTAAGTTCTCTTTGTGCTCGTCATATTAAAGCGAAGGGGTTGTCGCGAGAGTGTCCTTGAAACTTGAGTTCCAAGTGGCGTATACAACAGATTGTTTATTTACATCAAAACACGTGTTCCATTTAGTAGTAATATGGCCAAAATAAAAACAGCCGTTATTCAGCTATCTTTGATCTGATTATGAAACACATTGATATGTATGATGTATGTGCCAAATACGAATGAAAATGGTACATAAATTGTGGAAACATAGTAGTAAGCCAAAAAGTCAGATGGCTGTTAATCGGCCATCCTTGACCAGATTTTGAAACAATTGTCATGGACATGCATCCTACATGTATAAAGTACATGTATGTGCCAAATTTGAATGAAACTG